CTAATGAGGATAAAGCACGTAAGGGGAACGGTTGAGAAAAGGTGCATGACAGCTCATGCGCGTGGAGGAGTTCGTTTGAGTTCTTGTTCTTTGATGAAGGCATGTCGGCCTAAAATGAATGATCTCGGCCGAAGAGTTCTCACGCCGAGGTACTGGAAGAAAATACAAATATAGGTTCCATCACCTCAGAATACCGAGATAATAGAACCTAGGGGGCAGTTGTGGGGATGTATTTTCTGTATACCAACACGTGGCATGGTGATGCCGACGTGTCAGCCGAGGTGCCACGTGTCCTGGTAGTTATGCCGAGGTTTCCTAGGCAAGGCCGAGGTGATATCCGAAGATATCGGAATCCGAGATAAGCGGATAAGGGACAAGAGTCCTAGAGTAAAGAGAAGACTTTGCTAAGATAAGGATAAAGCTCTTAGGGAGTTTATCTTTATCTCTTGAAGAGTCCAAAGTTGACATTGAATTGGAGTCCATAGAAGTCAGACTTCTAGTGGGACTTGGATTGAGTAAACTATAAAAGAGAGGCACCCCCGTGGGTCTAAGGTACGCAGTTTTATACCCAAGCTTGTGAGTTTAGCACTTGATTATCTTTGAGAGATATACTGACTTGATCGTCGGAGTGCCCCCGGGTGGAAGAGCCACCGTCGGAACCTTTTCTTTCTGTTACAGGTTCACTAAAGTCATCAATTCTGCCGGTGCTCTCCAGCTGATTACTAGGCGGGCAGTGTGGTCAGAAAATTACCCACACAAAGCTTAAGAAAGATTTTTGTTCCTTTTGTTAACTGGAGTGTGCATATATAATATATGGCCGTTGTTCTAAGATTTTTGTTCTTAACACTTTCACGATTATGAAAGAAAAAAAAATGAATGAAAATAAAAAGGAAAAGAGATTGGGTTTGAAAACTTATACCTACAACCTGCTTGTTATGGTTCATGGATTGAATGAAGGATGCCCTGGTTATTTATGAATCTTTTGGTTATTTAGGTATTCAGAAATAGGTTTCTGTTTAAGAATGTACCCTCTGTACCTTCCTATGTTATTTGGTTTGCAGGTGAGCAATATGATAGTTGGTCCAGAGCTAGAGATTGGATCTCCAGTAGCACTATAGATGATGTGTTTCTTCTAATTGATAATCCCGTTGGTAGGTTACTATTGTTGCAGGTTGATGATGCATATGGTGGGGTCGAATAGCATGGTTTTGCTTAGTAACCCTGTCATTATCCGGTAACCATGTTGCAGCGGATGTGCGCTTGTGGACTTTGAAATGGCCGGTGGTCTGGTGGAAGCAAGATATCTTCAGGATATCTTCCTTTTTGATTGTCGAAGTCTAGTTATAGGAATTTAATTTATGACATCGGTGCAGAGATGAAACTAGGAAAAGCTTTAACTGCAGTTGGAAGATGTGAATTGGAGGAGGAAGCTCGATTACCGTCAAAACAATGATTGTTCTCTTACTTGTAATATTATTTGTTTGTGCTAAAAAATGAAATAGAGCCTTTTGAGGCTGGAAAGGAAACTTGATTTCACATTATTTCAAATCTATTGTCTTTGTTTACTTCAATAAAATTTAGTTCAATGTATTCAAAATTGGGCTGAGTGTTTGGCCATGTTCATGAAAACAAAACTAGTGGTTGTCCTGAGCTATTGGCATTCAGACAAAATAATAGTAAAAAAGAAAAAAAATGAGCTGTTGGTATTTTTCTTGGTTCACCTTATTTTATCATAATTTGCACACTTTACCTCCTTTTTATCACAACTTGCATATAAATGGTTACCTTCTTCAACTATCTCGTGCTAGTTGTGTACCATAACTTTTCTCATTTTGCTGTAGTGTCGGCTGTAGTAGTGACACTTTTGGCTTGTTAGAACAGTGACGACATGTAGACGTAAGCTATTGGACAAAAAACGAATATTACCCTGATTTTGTGCAGCAAAGATATTATAAAGTTTTTTTCTTTCTTTAGTTTATATTTTTTTTTGGGTGAGATTTTTCTATTTGGGTTTTGATCAATATATCTGATCTGAGCTTGAATTATGTCTAATTCTTGATCTAAATTCATGTATTGCTTTTTAACTGATAGTATTATGCTTCCTCATCATTCATAAAAGAAATTTGTATTCATTTTTAGTGGCTAATTCTTGCTCTAAATTCATGTATTGTTTTTTAAATGATTTAGTATTAAGCTTCCTCATCATTCATAAAAGAAATTTGTATACATTTTTAGTGGCACACTGGCACTAAACTGTTGTTACTTATATTAAAACTTCATATTTAGGAACCCATGTGGTGAAGTAAAATTCCATATTGTGGATGCTATCTTATATATTGATTCAAACACAATTTAAGAATAAAAATTATAATATAAGTAACACTTGAAAATAAGTTGGAAGCTACCTTTTCACTAAATGTTTCCCCAAGGCCTGCAATTAGGGGTGTATGTCATGTGATTCGGGTGATTTGAAAGTAAAATTATAAACTAAATAACGGATTGTCAAATAATCAAATCCCGGTTTGGGGAAAATTTGCAGATTGAAGAATATTCTTAAACAATTATCAAGTATTTATATAATACATAACACTAATTTGTATAATATTTTTTATATATATAACTACTAATTTGTAATAAATTTTATTTCTTAAATATATCTCACACTTATTTTTATTTTGATATTTATTAGTGGTTAAAAAATATATATATGCATTAAATTTAGCGGAGCGGAGCGATTTCAAAGGTAGATTATATATTTTGAAGTTTAATATGCTATTAGCGGATAGAACGAAATGAATTGAAGTGTATTGGTATGATTTTAACAAATTATGCAGTATCTTGGACAATCCTATCTACAACTATATGATACTTTGAAGAAGGAGAAAAAAAAACAGGTAAAAACTGTGACCGACCCTTTTGCTTTCAATGTATATCATTATCAACATAGGAAGGGAAGCCTTTTGGTATAAGAGTGTAAGCACTTTTTGTCTTGGATAGTACATATTTTTGTATCACATGTTATGTAATTTATAATTCAAAAAAAAAAAAGTAATATTATATAAAATTAATATATATATATATATATTTTATTGTGATTTTATTACATTATTAAAGCAAGTTGTGTTTTAAATTTTAATATATTTTTGATTTCATGACATGAATTAACATTTCATTTGTTTTGGTGAAAAATATTTTTTTAGTATTTGGTATAATAGAAAATGAAAATTAGCAAAAAAAATTTTCATAATTGATAAAAAAATGTCTAGAAAATATTTTTTACTTTTAAAAGTTAGAAAATATTTTCCAAATTAAAGTAGTATCAATATCACCTCCACCGCCGTCACTATTATCGTCTTATCACCATGTCGCCACTTCCACCTCTACCTTCCTTCCACTGTCACAATCACCAAACATAAATAAAAAAAATTTCATAAAATATTTTTTACCCACAAACAAATAAAGCGTAAAATACTTATAAATTTTTTATTTTTGAAAAATCGAGACAACTGGATTTGATTATAACAGATAGAAGTTACGGTTGGAAAAAAAAGGCGAAGTATCCATACCGTCCACGTGCGTCCACTGCTATTTTATGTTCCAAGTTTCCAACCGCACCCCCAGTATATGCAGCCCACCCCACGGTACAAAGTTGCAGACAAGACAACCAACGATGGAAAAATTCTAATATTCTTGGAGGCGAAGTGACCAAGCCAACGATGGAAAATAACCCAGTCCACAAACAAATAAAAGTCCGCGGTCAGATACGGACTTACACGTGTTCGGCTCACAACTCTATTGGTCTCACACGTCCCCCTCTTCACGCTCTCACCGCAAGAAAATACCAACACATGAGAGAGAAAAAGTGTGTCGTGCATTTCAAACGTTTCTACGGTTCAAAACTCATAAAAAAAATTTTTTAAATGTTTGGAAAATATTTGACGCAATGAAAGCATAAAAAATGACCTACATATATAAATTTTTAAGAAAAAATTATAATTTTTATTAAAAATAATCTGTTGATAATATTTTTAAAATTAACAACAATATAAATGAGTGTTTTGTATTCAATGAATGACTTTAATTTAATTACATTATTTTATATAAGAAAAACTTAAATAAATTTTTATTTGTAAGAGATGTAATTTGTTGTGTAAATTTATGTAAAATGTGACAAAATCAATGAAACTTTTTAATCTGACTTTTTAATTATTTTAACCTGATTAAAAGCAACTCTAACGGTAAGACATTGAAATTGCTATTGTTATAATATAGCAAGTACGAAAATTTTGCAAGCTCATGCTGCTAAAAATAGTAGCAACTATATCTTATGTCAAATTTGGTATAGGCTTTACTTATAGCGAAAGAACATTTTGCAAGCTCACCAGTTGTCCGAGTGATCGTTCGGGCAGTCAATCGATTGATGTTGGTCCTGTGTTAGTTAAGTTAAAAATAACAATTTTATCGTTGAAGTAACAATGCTATGCTCTAAACTTTTTTGGACTATTCATTGCTAAATTATATGTTTAACTATTAATTTTAGCTTTTCACCGTTAGAGTTGTTCTAAAAAAGTTGTGTTTGGAATAAACCTTTGGCTTTTTTTTTTTTTTTTGGGTATTTGATTTGATGATTGTAAAAGAAAAAATGAAATGATTATAATTTGAATGTAATATTTTATCTTATTAATTAAATTAATTTATTTTATCTTTTAGTATGCTAATTTAACCCCAACCCGTATACCAAACGGGCCCTTATAGATTCTACAATATTGCTATATTTTTTTTTTTTTTTTTTTCGTTTTTATAAATATAATGAGCCTCAGATATGCACATGATATTTATGTGGAAAATATATATATATTTGTAATTGTATACTTATGATATTGCTGAAACTCAAAACCAAACTTTCCACGAAAAGTGTTGAGTGTAAACAGCCGCGAAAGAGCACGTTTCACTTAAGGACAACTTCTTCAGCTACTAATATATAATATACCTCGAATCTTCTCTCTCCTTCACAACCCCAATATATATACCTCTCTCCCACCCCATACCCACCAAACCAAACTAAATCAAACCAAACCTCCGACTTCCAACAATCTGGCCACACCCACAAAGCAAAACAAAAACAATGGCAGCCACTAGATTGCTTCGTACTTCTGGGCCTTTGGGTCTTCATCTTCCTTCTTCTTCTTCTTCCTCGTATTGTAGTTTGAAAAACCCGACATTGTCTTCGACGATTACAAATCGAAGCAGAGAAGGGGAGAACAGAGAGAAAAGACTTGGCGGCGGTGGTGTCGGTGAGAAGAAACCGTTGGCGGCTGTGAAGGCAGTGGCGGCCACTACGCAACGAGTTATTATTTCAGAACCGCAAACCAATATTGGAGGAGTGGGTTTGGCATCAGATCTAGTGATAAAAATCGCTAATATGGCTCTTTTGATGTTAAAAATGGCTACCAAACGAAGGCCATGGAGGTTGCACGCACAAATGTTTATTGAAAGGGTACGTACGCTCAACTTATTATTATTTTTATTGTCGTAAGTGTTTTTTTTTTTTTAATGAAAAAAAATAGATCTATCTGTCTAGTAGAATCTAAAAATTCACCAAAAACGAAAAACAAATAAACTATTTAAAAATAATTGCCAAATCCCACCCCAATATCTTCAATTGTTGAATATTTTATTTCATCACATAATATATATCATCTTGAGTAATCTCATAAATAATTATTGAATAATTTAAGTTTACTATGGGACACTTGAATTATTGTGTAAGCACACACAAACAAAAAGGTGTTTTATATTTTCATTATTTTGAGTTTTGGTAACATGTGTTTATGATTTCAATAGACACAAGAAAAGGCCACAAAAAGAAAAAAAAAGAAGAGCATAAGATACTTTCTTTCTTTTTTAAATTAAAATTTTTTAATTGATTTTATTTTTTAAAATTTGTACAGTATTTTAAAATAATTTTTATACAAATTTGACGTCACAAGATATTTGTTGTCTATTTATTATTTATATATGTTTTTTTCGTGGAGTACACACCATCCACGGAGGTCAGCTTCGAAGAGCAAGGACAATGGTCGGCCAATATAATCTTGAAATCATGAGGTGTCTAATAATCACCGGTCTGGTGGTCTAATGGTGAAAATATTAGCGAGTCAAGTTCGACTTTTGGGAGGCATGAAAATATTGAGTAATTTTTAGTGATTCTCTACATAGATCTCTTGTGTTGTATTTCGATCGAAATTTGATCCTATTAAGAGTGGTCGATGAACTGTACTAGTGTTTTGGTAGTGGGTTTCTTCTTAGGTGTTAGGTTAAATCAAACTAGTACCCGGCTACCTTAAGACTTGGACTTACAAATATCATGATGACACCTTAGATTGTCTTTTGGAATGTTTTTTTTCTTTTGTTAAAAAAAAAAGTGTAATAGATTTGATACGGCCAAAAAAAAAATGTGCTCATAATTTTTTCCTTGTCCCTTTTTTGGTGTCTTCATTGCTTGCTAAAGGTTTATTCTACTAATTTTTTTTTTAATTATTTAACTATTAAAATGAACAAAATTATATATATGTATAGTAGTACTCAATAAACACATAAGCACGAGCACATCCGTATTAGAGTTATGAATGTATGCAAATAAAATAGATTCCTTTACTTACTAACTTCGTACAAGATATACATAATATTTTTTTTTTTTTCTTTCAACAGTATATCATGAGAAATGAATGAAACCCAAGAACAATATATAGGATGGTCATCTAATTAATTCATGATTTTCAATTCTGCAGACAATAGTTGACTGCCGATTCCTTGCATTGTTTGCTGTTGCGGGATCATTACTTGGCTCAGTCTTGTGCTTTTTGGAGGTATTGATAATAAAAAGAAATCTTCAAATTTCTATCAAATGTTTCACACGTAAGTCTCAGATGTGAGACATTTCCCAATCTACTCCATCCTCATAAGGGGTGGACCCCCACATCACACCGTGCCCAGCATAGTGTTGTGAGGAGGGAGTGGTCATGTGTGTCCGAAACATTTTGGTTTTATTTCTATTGAAACTGCTCTATTTATTTTTGTCATTTTTGGGTGTGATGTGATGACTAAGATATTTCACAATATAATTGCAGGGATGTTTCCTTGTTATAGAATCATATCTCCAGTATTTTCATGCCATGTCCCATAGGTCAGATCAAGGATATGTGGTGCAACTACTAATTGAAGCAATAGGTTAATATTCTCTCACTCAAATACACATTTCATTTTTCTTATTACTTGTTTCATATATATAATTATTCTAAATTGTGAATTAATTATTTGATGCAGATATGTTCATGGTAGGAACAGCAATGCTTGTTTTTGGGATGGGCTTGCATGTCATGTTTGTTGGATCAAAACATGGAAATAGCTCGCATCTCCCAACTCCATCATCAAACTTGTTTGGCCTTTTTAACCTCAATGCAAGTACAATGAAACCCAATTTTATAACATTACTGTCAATTAAAAATATGTTAATAGTATTTCTAAATTTTTTCTTAAATTTCATTTTTGCAGACACTTCCAAGATGGGCATGCATGGAGTCAGTGACACAAGCAAAGTCGAAAATTGGGCATGCTGTGATTATGATTCTGCAAGTGGGAGTGGTGGAGAAATTCAGGAGCATACCTTTGGTTACTGCTTTGGATCTTGCCTGTTTTGGCGGCGCTTTATTAGTTTCATCGGCATGTATATTCCTCCTCTCACAGCTATCTGTTGGTGGCACTACACCCGATAGGTAGACCGAGGAATCAAGCTTTTGCAACAATGATCACTGACCTAAAACGAAGGCATACACTTAGTTTTAATTATTGGCGGATACGCATGAGAGATAAAGATACAAAAAGAAAAGACAGTATTCGACCAAAACATATCGATATAGATACATATACAACTACAACTACGGAAAAAAAATAAGTATAGATACAAATACAGGTACGGAAAAAAAAGAAAAGAAGTACGTTGAGAGTCACCCTCTTGAAGAGTTTATTCTTTCTTTCTTTTATATATATATATATATATATTTATTCATGTAAGGATCTATTTCTTTGTAACTTTATGATCATTATTTACATTAATGGGAGGAAAAAGATGTCCGTATATAAGGCAATTTTTATTGTCAAAATTCTTGGGAAATTATTGTTTGCACATTTTTGGTCCAAAGTAAAGATGTGAAAATTATGTAAAATATTTAATAATTCATTTGGAGTGCTTAGTATGCACGTTCCAAAATTGCACGAGGGATACATAAGCGAGATCCAATCCAAAAATATTGTGCGCTTTTCATTTTCTATTATTGGAGCTTGAGGAGGACCCAAACAAAAGCATCAACCAACTAAATGTGATCTAAAATGACCTAAAAATTTGAAAGATACCTTTAACGAGTTTTTGAACCATTTTTAGATTGTACGAATTTTTTTTAAAAAGCAAATAAATATAATAATATGATTTAATTTTGATTAGTCCTATCAATCTAATTTTTTATATATATAATATGTACACAAGTTACAAAATAAATGGATTGAATCATTATATTGAGATTAGTGGTGAGCTCTATGGACTTAACTGGATGATCTAATCCAGTGAGGTAAACTAGAGATAATTTGTGTCCTATATGAAAATCTACTATTGAAATGAATGATACAAAGAACAAATTATGCTACATATTAAGAATAAATTACAAAAAAAATGATTAGAATTTAAATCTATAGTGTAGAAGGAATAAAGACTCCATATATAATTAAGGATAAATTACAATTACAATGACTACTCTTGAAATTTGAAAAAAAAAATACGATATATTTCACAAATTTAGCATAATTATATCAATTTTTATTTTAATAGGATTGAAACAATCAGAACTAATATAAATAGTGTATAGGCATACAGATAATCAATGGTAGAAACATATTTTAGTAGAAAAGATATATAATATCAATTTTTCATCAATATAACTAATAAATCATTGATAAATGTGTTATGTGAAATAAAAATTTTAGGGGCAATCACCAAAAAAAATCCCAAGTTTGAGCTATTTAACAATAAACTTTGAATTTTTTATTTTGTCAATTTAAATCTTAATCTTTTGATTTGTTTTCAATTTAAAATATTTTTCTATTTTTTTTAAGCAAAATCGATAAAAGAAAAAAAGTATTTTAGTCATTAAATTTCATACAAGTATATATAAAATATCTAAAATACCTTTTTTTTTTTATTGAGTTGAAGGACTATAATACCATTTTACGGTCTCTTTTACTTAAGAAAAATAAATAAATTGTTCATATTGAAAATAAATCAAAAGTTTAGAATTTAAATTGACAAAATTAAAAGTCCAAGATTTATTTTGTTAAAGGGTCAAAACTTTGAGTTTTTTTTTTTTTAGTTGTAATTCTGCCAAAATTTTAAAAAGTATAATGTAATTATGATAAACTTGTGAGACTCATACCTAGTTTGGGAACTTTTTTTTGTTAAAAAGTCAAAAAATCACTACAAATTTTAAAACAATTCCCTCTACTTTTTTCACCTTTTTTCTTAAAATTACAAAGTTATTAAAAAAGTCAATTGCCAAACACCCTTAAGAATATAATTTTTATTTTATATTTTAAAAAAATAATTTTTGGAAACAAAATAAATTTTTTTTTTGGGGGGAGGGGGAGAGAGAGAATTACAACAAAAAAAAATGCTCAAGGTTTGAGACTTCTAACAAAAATAATTTTAAATTTTTAGTTTTGTCAATATAAATTCTAAAAATGGGTTTTTTAGTCATTAAATTCAATTAAAAATGGTATTTTAGATATTTTATATATTCCTACACTAAGTTTAATGACAAAAATACTATTTTTCTGTCATTTTTATTTAATAAAAATAAGCAAATGGTTTACATTGAAACAAATCAAAAGATTAAGTTTTAAATTGATAAAATTACAAATTCAAGATTTATTTTGTCACATGACGCAAACCCTTTTTTTTCAGTAATTGTCCTCTCTTTTTTTGGTCTATGCCATAAAATAGATAATAGCAATGAATTTAGCCAAAAACCCCTAGACCCAATATGTTAGTGTATAAAGGACAACTCAAAGTATTTTACTTCCTAAATCCCCTTAGCAAAAAGCGTGTTCTTCATGAAAGATATACTAATATATATATATAAACAAGGTTTGATTTTTCTAGACAATCTTACCCTGGATATAAATTGAGGAGATCGAGTAGTGTGTGTGGGTGTTGATTTTTGACCACACAACTAAACAGGGAAACTCAGCAGAAGAGCACCGGTAGAATAGATTAAGCCTGAACAACCTGTCACAGAAAGATAAGAATCCAGCGGTGGTTCGTCCACCCGGGGGTACTCCGGCGATCAAGTCAATAATCACTATCTCTCCAAGATAACCAATAGTGCTTAACTCACTAGACAGAATATAAAAAGCATACCTCAGACCCACAAGGGTGTCTTTTATAGCCAGCACTAACCTGATCCCTGTAGAAGCCTGGCTTCAATGGACTTTGGCTCAATGCTCATCTTAAACACCCAGTTAGATAGAGATAAACTCCCTAAGAGTTTTATCTATATCTAGACTAAGGTCCTCCCCTATTCTAGGACTCTTGTCCCTTATCCGCTCATCTCGAATTCCGGTATCTCCGCAGATAACCTCGGCCTTGCCAAGATCATCTCGGCAACATGACCAAGCCACGTAGCACCTCGGCTGACACTCTGGTGCCACCTTGGCCACGTGCTGCCATTCACAAAATATGTCCCCACAACTGCCCCCTAGGTTCTATTAGCTCGACAACCTGAGGTGATGGAACTTATACCGTTTGTCCACATAGCACGTCGACTAAGACTCACTCTATCCTTCACGACCGAGCTCATCACTCGTCGGCTACATATGACCAAGACTTTGCAGTCCACTTTATCAATGACCAAGAATAAAAAACCAAGTTCTTTGAGTTCCTTAACCGAAATTGTTCCTCTAGCTGAGGTTTTTGCTTCATTAAATCAAGAACTCCAAGAGTTTTATCTGCGCATGAGCTGTCACACACAGTTTTCTCAATTGTTTTCGCTACGTGTTCTGCTCTCATTGATTCGTACCTGACACGCGCCATCAAGTCGCGTCACTTCTGTGCATGCCGCCTGACAAACACGTCGTCCAAGGCATATTATTATGATTTGCCGCCTTTTTCATAATTTCAACAAAACTCCTCACTCTCTCTCCGTCTCTTCACCTTTGCAAAAAATATACTCTCCCTCGTTTCACAAATTCTCTCTCTCCAAACTTCTATTCTCGAACAGCCATTACTGTCTCTTCAAAGCTCTGCATCCGTTCCAATTACCTCCGACGACGACCCTCTCATCATCTGTTTGTGATCATTCACGTCATCTGACTCCGGCGATACCCATATCGGCGTTCATTTCACTTGGTAAGTCACAATTTCCTCCATTTTCAGTTTTTCATTATTCCTTTGACATATTTCGAATCTGCTATACATTTAAATGCTATTTGTCACCATTCCAAATCAGTTTTTGTTCTTGAATCCCTGTTGTGTTTTGAATTTCATCATTTGGGTGTCAAACATGCTTGTTTGCGATTTTGTGTTGTTCAATCTGTCTCTAGGTCTTCATATGCACAGACGAACTGTTCACATGCTTGATGTTTTAGCAATTTGTCACTGTTCTTGGCTTTTGCACATTTGCACACACTTATTCAGTGTTCTTGAATTTTTGCTTTTTTTTTTAGTCTAAATCGTACTTTTTCTGTTTTTCTTTGACTTGTTTCCAGATTCTTTGATTTCTTGTTTCCGTATAGACTTAGGTTTGGAATTTGATAGAATTTACATTCCTTAGGGAAATTGAAACAAATTCCCCCTAGATCTTGAAAAACCCTTGCCCCAATTCTTATTTAGGGTTTAGCCGAGGTCCTTAAACCCACACCAAACATTCTTTTTGTAGACACCCCATTTTTTACCGTCCTCAAGACTTGGACATCATCATTTGTGCACTCGTTGATTGTGCATGTTTGTGCTCGTTTTTTGTCCTCGAAGCTCTCAGCGGAGCGCCTTGTCTTTGAGCCTCTAAACTCTCTATGTTTTGGCCTTATTTTTGGGCCAGACCTTGGTAGCCCTTGCCTAGAGGGAGGAAAGTCCTTGTCGGCCACTTTTGGCCCTTGTCGGCCACTTTTTCCTCTTGTCGGCCACCTAGTGTGGCTGATCGGCTAGAGGAGGTTGCCGGTCGACTAGGGGTCGGCCACCTAGAGTGGCCGACAGCTATTTTTTTTCTTTTTCAGATATTTTGTGTGCTAGCTGTGCCAACTGTTGATCACTGAAGTCATCCTCCATACACGTGGAGGGATGGAAACAAGCCTTAGGCTTGTATTTCTATATAAAGGGAGGTCCCTCCCCCATTTCGGGGGTTCAAAAATTTTAGAAGTAAAATTTCACTCTCTCTCTCTAGAATCCTCTCTCTCTTCCTATTTAGTGCTTGAAAGTGAGTTTCCTTTGCATATTTGCACGAGCACCCTTAATCAAATTAGACTACCTTGTTGCTGAGGTTCTTGGAGGTCCTATTTGAGCTCTCGAAGCTGGTTTTGGTGCAGAAAGTTGATTGTTTTGCTGCTATGCTTCAAAGGTAAACGCTTACCCCTTTTAAGCTTATTTTTGCACACTAGTTTGGTCACCTTTGCATATTGTTTTTGGCCTACTTTTCAACTACAAAAACCTCTATTTTTAAGGTTTAAAAATGATGGTTTAAGGCCCTTTTGGAGTTGGGGGTGGTCCACCCTCTTTTGTTGCCTATTTGCTAAAAGGTGTGCTATCTTTTAAAGCTTTTCAAACAAACTTTTCTTGGCCTTTTAACCAATGAATTCCAGAGGAATTTCAGTGGTAGAAAGTTGGTTTTGAGGTCCAAAATAGGAGGGGGTGGCCTCCCCTCCTTGTGTCTTCTTTGCAAGTGTTGATGGCCTAGGATGTGAACACGTTTTTCTACCATCTCATGGCTTGATCTCAGCATATTTTTGTGACTTTTTTGACCTGCTTTAGCTCTATTTTTGGCTTGTTAAGTCGCTTGTCGCTTGCTGCTTACACTTGTAGTGTAATCATGCTTACTAGCCTA